GTTGTCACACCCCCCAAGTGGTTGCGTATTGGTTCAGTTTCCACAGAGAACGAAAATTAGATTTTAAGAAAAACGGAATTTGGTAACTAACACTTTGGCCAGAAAAACTCGAAACCCTGTAACTATGGTCATACCAATTATGGTTTGCTGGAAACTAGAAGATTCTGGGGTATTTGTGTAAAATAAGGAGTTACACAAAGGTATGCAAGCCGGTTTAGTCAGTGCAAACTCAAGATAAGTCCTTTAGAATCGCAAAAAGCCACATAGCCGATACAGTAGTGGGGCACTCACTTGAAAAGTCCCGAATAGAGAGGTAGCACAGATCTTCAACAGTACTACATACAAATTGATACTTGAAGAACCAGTAAAAACTAAACAAGACCGAAGTGTTTAGCAAGACAATCCACTAACCAGACTACCAGAGGGTAGCCGGAGGAAAAAAACCTAACTGTAGGGACAAGGAGCAGATCACAGCCCTTCCAGGCCATCTGGATTGGTAGTTTGGGATAGCTAGAGATACTAGTAAATAGTTTGTAAGTGTGTACCGAGGTTTGGGTGAACTTTATAAGGGCAGAAGTAGGTTGTGTAGTAGCGATCAGAAAACTGAGCTATAAGTGGTAGGCCTCTGTCTGTGCATATCAACTGAAGTCTAGATCAGCTGGATTGTGGGTACAGAAAGCTCTAGCAGGTTTATCCCAAGAATAAAATTGTTCTAAAGTAGTTATTTAAAATAGTATTGTAGTGAGATTATGTATATAGAAATATATGTACATATGTACAACAGATATAGATCATCTAGTTGTAATAGTAGTCTATACAATAATAAAAGTACTTGACCGAAGAAGTTACCTTAACACCAAAAAAAAAAAGTAGGTTTTTCTGATTCTAATAATAGTAAATTTATTAGAATTAGATTAAAATTTGGTAAGATATGAAAATTTAAAAATTAGATATAAAATTTTAATATTAAATTTATCTTATAGTATTACATAAATTAACCAATCAAAATTGATAATTTTGTATAATTCAGAAAAGTTTGGGTCTATTCAGAAAAATTTTGTTATATATATAAGTATATTTTTTTAATAAAATATAATGGTTTAAAATTTTACTATAATAAATAAATAATTTTATCTATAAATTATAAAAATTTGATAAAAATTAATTATAATTTGAAAAAGTTTTATTAGTAACAACTTTTAATTTTATAAAATTATATATTGATTATATGAAAAATAATCTATATACTGTCTACTCTTAATTGATCAAAAATCAATTATATAAACTTGATTGAGTATGATTAATCAAGCATATAATTTATAAGTTTGAGTATATATGCTAAACAAACTTTTGGGATTTAGGATTTGACTATAGAAAAATTCAGACAAATAGAATTATCTATCTATATTTAAAATTCTTATTAGCAAAATTAAACAAATATTAATCCTAAATTCCAATTTTCATCTCAAATCTCAAATATCAAATCCTATTTCAAATCTTAATTTTATTCTAAATTTTAGATCTTGATAACTAAATTAATCAAAAATCTATTTAATACTAAATCTTTAAATTTGCAATCTTTACAAATTTGCTAAACAAGTTGATAACAATAGTAACTACTATAATATTTTAAATTATATTAATAAAAATATATATAGTATCAAGTCTTTTGTAATATATATTAATATATATAATATATATTTAAATTAGTATATATGCATATATAGTATATTTTTTTATTAAACATTAATTTGCTTTTTTGGTTTTTATCTAGTTTTTTAATTTTTTAAAAATGTTCTCTACTAGTTAATATCTATATATTTTCTATAAATACTACAGTACTTTAAAATATTATTACAAATTGTTTATAGTATTAGCTTTTTTTATTTTTTTTATTTTATATATTTTTATTTTTTTTACTTTTTTTTTAGTCTTCTTTTTTTTACTTTTTTTTATTTTTATTTTTTTTATTTTTTTCTTTTACTTGGTTTTTTTTTAAGTTTGCTAGGTGGTTTAGATAAAAAATTACAAATATAATAAATATTATTTTTAAGGATATTATTTTTTGGTATACCTGCACTATATGCGGGATTATAGATAGCCAATTAAATTTTATAATATATATTATATAATTAAATATATTATAATACTATATCACGTGCTTATGTAATAATATTGTAACACTACAGCACTTTTGTGTAACTAAATCATATGGTCAGTATTGTGTAATACAAATTGGTATTATTTACTTTAGGTAGTATACCCACAAAAATTGTTCTACCCTGTAATTTATAAAACTGTATTATAGTTGGGGTAAGGGTAAGAATAGTACAAGGTTAGAGTTAGAACTATTAGTAAAATTTTACAAGAACATTTTTAATTTGGCAGCAGAAAGTGGTTTCTTAATTTCGCTTTGTTTGTTTATATTATACATGGTCTTGAAATTTGATTGATCAAAAATCATAGGATTGGTAATCGATCAAAATTTATTTAATTTTTATATGATCGATCACAAAATAATGCAGTAATTAGTAATTGTGTGATCGATCTCATTTCTATTTACTTGTACAAAAATTATATCAAGAATTCATATTATCCTGATTATAATATACACTTCTTGCAGCTATAAGAACCAACTATACTGTACATATCTCAAATACTTCACTATCTCGATTATTAGAATACAGTACTTAGTTTTAAGTTTATATAAAGGTTCAATAAATTAGGCTATTTGAAGTTGAACAGCTTACATTCAGGATTTTCAACGAAAATATCTTAGCAATTACTTATCTAATCTATATCATATAATAAAAATAAAAAAAGGTTTCATCAATTTTAGTTAGACAGTTATTGTAGTGCTATCGATCAATCAATACACTATACTTAATTTATATTTGTTTAATTTTCATCCTTCTCCCTCTCTGTAAATACAAAAAAAAATAATGTTAAACAAGCAAATGGCCTTACTTTACTATTATAATGTATTCGTTTTACACAAGCTTTATAGTAAAAAATAGCTTATTTTAATAACTTGTTCAATGGATGTTCTTTTACCCACATAGTAATTAATATGAATCAAAATAAAATTTGATATAGCTAAACTTGAATTTTTCTGATAGTTAAATTTGATAGCTCAAATGAATAGAAAATTACTTTTATTAATATAATAAAACCCAATTATCCATGTACAAGAAAACATTACAGTGATCTATATATATAAAAGCATTTTAAGAACAATTACTAATCAGTATCTATTTTACCATCTGATAAGCCAACCCATTCACTTTCATTTTCCTTTTTCTCCACATGCATAATCATGTAACTCTTTTTTATGTCCACGCCCACCACAAAACTCATACATAATCGTTGAATTACAAGCCTTATTTACATATTTTGTATACTATTGACGATTATGACCTTTGCTACCACATTCTCCACATGTATTAGTCCTAGGGCCACGTACTGATTTTGATTGTTTCTCTTGAGCTTTTGATGACTGATTTTCTAGCGCTGATTGATAACATACAGTTTTGGGGGTCGACCTCTTCTAATCTTTTTTATAGGGTTAGAAACTTGTATTTTCTCAACAATAATATTTGGTTTAAGATGTTCTTCGAGTATACTTGTCTTATGACTAGAGGCAGATGTATTGGTTGTATTCTCAACAAGAAAGTAGTCATTTTGAAGAATATAGGTTTTTAAAAATTTAAGAATATTCGGATTATCCTTTTCAATAGCAATATTAATGGCCTTTTGTGCTATTCTAATAGTCTCAGCATAAATTTTTTTTTTGTATTGCCTTTTTGGCAATGACGGATGATGAAAGGTGAGTCATAGTGAATATTTCATTGATGCAGAAAATAAATTCGAGGATTCATTTGATGGTAATATAGTCATTAAAGTTGATACTTCTGATGATTCTGACAAAAAAACTGGATAAATTGACAAGAGGTTGTATATCAAGATCTTCATCTTGATATTTTTCAAGCAACTAATACTTCGCCACAAAATTAATTGAAAATGTGGCAGCTAAAGAAAATACCATTATCTGAAAAAATGCTTGCAAGAATACCCACGATTAATTAATAATATATAGCTGTATATGAAAGAGCTATCTGAAAGTAAAAATATATGAAGCCGGAAATTTTGCCAGGTCATATGTATCACTTCCCAAACTTCAACTACTTTATCTTCGACTTGTTTGAAGAGCATAAGGGAATAAGCCAATGGATAATCAAAAGCATTGTCAATGAATACTGCATCGTTATCGTCATCCTGCATCTATAATAAAAAATAAAAATAGAGTTAATAATTGCTTCGCTAATTTAATAGGCCTGTCAATTAATTAATATTATTTAAATAATCATTAGTAAAAATAAATGCCACCTATATAACATATCAGAAATAATTATTTACTTGACATGAATATAAAAATTCAGTGTTGATTTTAGTTGGATAGTAAAATAAGCTATAGTTTATTTTATAGCAAATTTTTTCAATTAGATTGGGTGCAACGAAGCTCTTGAGAATAGTGTTAACATTTGGATACATAGTATCACAAACATTTGGTGGTTTAATATTTGGATTTGATTATTTCCAACTAATGAAATCATAATAATAGTCTTGACTAGCGATTAAAGAATCGAGTGAGTTGAACAAATCATACAAAGTTGTATCACAGCGTATAATAGATTTGATATGTAAATTAATTGACTTAACGTGACTTGTTGCTTGTGCACCAGCAGTGAAATGATGAAAAGTATAAGCCCTTGCCCAAGATCGCTTATCAGAATATAAAGCCCTATTGAGATATAGTGCAGCTTTTGGATAATATTCTTGCAAAGATTTAAACTGATCTTTAAAAGTTTGTAGATCCAATATATTGTGAGTTTTGTAAAAGTCCTTAATGAATAAATCCCAATCAGAGCTTAATTTGCTTTTAAGGTTTTTTTGTAGATTTTGGCTAATATGCCAAATACAATAAAGATGTTGTGTTGAAGTTAAAATAGTAGAAATAGCAAAAGTCATAGTGAGATCGGTATCTGTCAAAATAGTGTTTGGATAAAGCCTCTCAGTAGCTTTAATTAAGACTTCAAGTAGCCAAAAATATGATTCAGCTGTTTCATTATCTAATATGGCTTGTGCGACAAGACAAGACCGGTAGGTATTATCTATAGTAATAAAGTGCAACAATGGTATATTATAAATATTCATTTTTGGCATATCATCATGAAGGATAATATTGCTATACCATATCTAAAGATCAAGTTGATTTGGAAACATCCAAAAAAGATGTGTTAAAGTATTAGTATTCGAATCAAAATGCTACTCAATGACTCATCTTGGATCTTTCTCCTTTTTTTTAAGTAATTTAGACAACAATTTTGCTGCATCATTATCTCTATGTAAAACCATTCTTTTGACCTTTGTAATTGCATTATATAAATTACTGCGATGAATCAGGACTTTATACTTTTCTAAAAAAAGCTGATACTGAGCGCTTGCATTGATTTTTCCTGATAGAGTATAAAACTCAATATCTTTTAACATCTTCTTGATAAGCTTTCAATTTTTGGAGATAAATTATATAGTGTTTGGATCGAGAGTATAGCCAGTATGAATGCTTGTGAAAGTTGAAATATGATATTCACTAAAACTTTTGTTCTAATAAATATTGACCTTTCATTTACAATCAGTCTGGCATAAACCAGATCTTTTAGTTTTATATAATTTGTCTTTATTTTGCGGTTTTCTAGCATGATGATATATGAATGATCTTGAAATTTTATGTACACCACTTGTATCTTTTTCAACATGTCCTTTTTGAATTCCAAATCTATTTGAATGAGCAAATAATTTAACTATAACATAAGCTTCTTTAACTGTTTTAAACCTTTGACCTAACAATATAAATACTGTAAAATTCATCTTTTGACTCTTAAAAATCAAGAACTATAAAGATTTACCTTCATAAAGTTCCAATTGTTTGCCAAACTCATTGTCTGATTCTCGTCAAACTCATCATTTATACTCTCAAATTCAGAATTTAATGTTGTTAAATTTGTGGATTGTTGCAAAGTAGATTCAGTTGTCTGGGATACCAACAAAATAGTTGTAGATGAATTACTTTGGGACAAAAGATCAACATTTTCTAATTCTATTATAACTATTTAAAAAACAAGACTTTTAATACTGCATTCAAGTTACAACTGAATATTCAATCATAAAACTGGTAACATAAAACTATAACTAACTTACCCTTTCACCAAAAAAAATAATAGTGAATGCAAACGATTTCTGTTTAATGATTACAAGAAAAAGAATGTAATAGTTAATTAATGCTCGTGATTGCCTGATATTCGATTATAACAAATATAAAACTGTTGCCACAAAAAAAAAAAAAATAGAAAACACTAACAATTCCAGTTTAACAAATGTAAGCTAAAGGAGATAATAGTTAATAAGTACCCATAGTCGTCTGATGTTTACCAATAACAAATATAAACTGCAACTGACTTGCCTTTTCACAGAAAAAAAAAAATAATAGTGAACGTGAATGATTTCTGTTCGATGATTAAATTAACAGTTAATGGTCGCAGTAACAAATATTAAGCTATTAACCGACTTGCTTTTTCACAAAAAAAATAAAATAAATGATTATAAACTCTATAAACTAAAGAAGTAGTGGTTAATTAGTACTCATGGTTGCCTGATATTCACTAATAACAAGCATAAAATTGTAATTGACTTGCCTTTTCACCAAAAAAAAATAGTAGCGAACGTGAATGATTCTTGTTTAACATTTATAAGCTAAGAAAAGTAATAATTAATTAGTGCTTGTGGTCACCTGATATTCGCTGGTAACAAACATAAACTGTAACCCAAGTTGCCTTTTTACAAAAAAAAATAGCAAACGCGAATGATTCAGTTCAACAATTGTAAGCTAAAGGAAGTAATAGTTAACAAGTACTTGCGGTCATCTGATAATTGTTGGTAACTTTTGCATCAAAAACACTTACTTATTTTTAGTTTTCTTTATTTTTCACTAGCTTAAGCACCTCTTTTGTGATGAAAAAATAATAATAAATACCAGCTAATTATTTTATAAATGACCAGTACACTCTTGTTTATATTACTACGCCAGGCGAAAAAATTGTTTTAATCATACCCTCCTATTTATAATATGTTACCTATTTTCTATCTAATTGGGCAAACACTAAACTGATTGTTATTTAAACTTGACTTCGTTGTTAGAGTTACACAATTCAAGTTACAATAATAGCTGCATAATATAGCATTATATGTGTAACTTAGAGTCACATAAATCAAATTACAATTTAATTGTGTAATATATTACTACAAACTTATGATACCCTGCACATGGTGCACCCTGCATCAAATAAATATATTCTATTTTTAATTAATTTTTTATTTAAATGTTTTATGATTATATACTAGTTTAATTATATACTAGTTCAATTAATACTAATATATAAAATATAAAATAACTTTTATTTTATTTAAATAAAATTTTAAAATAAATTTTAGTTAAGACAAGATAGTATAGTAAACCTGATACAAATACTTGTAAACTTTTTATTAATTATTTAAAATTATAAAACAATATGCATATACTGCTTTTAGATTATTTTTATTCTAAAAGAATAGAAATAAAGTTTAGTTTTTATAAAATCTGTAATTTAGATTTTTTAAAGCTAAAAAGCTTAAAATTTGATAACTAAATTGTGTATTATAGTAAACTCTGTTTTTTAGATAGTACAAATAATTATATTAAATAAATTTAATAAATTATTAATAAAATAGCCTTTACTATATTTAACAAATTAGTATATAAATTATATGTGCAAGTTTAAAAATTTTAATTTAACAACTATATAATTTATTATAATATATAATAAAATTTATTCAATAATTTGAAATTTAGAATTGAGATTTAGGATTTGGATTTGAAATTTAGAATTTGGGTTTGAGTTTTAGATTTGGGTTTTGAACAAAGTTTTGACAATCTAAATAGAATTTTTGTAATTTGTATTTTAAGATTTTCTATATAAGATTGAGATTTGGGTAAGATTTTAAAAATTTATAATTTTGCCAACATGTATAAGCTTGAGTATATATAATTAATCAATTATTAGATTAATAATTGATCGATTATATTTTATTTACTAAAAAAAATCTAAAAATAATAATATATTCTATAAAATTTTCTTAATTAAGACTTGTGAATAGATAGCATAGTGGTTAGCATTTCTAAATCACAATTGCAAGGTCATGAGTTCGAGTTTACCATGATTGGCTAAGATCTTTGAAAGATTTTCTATTAAAAAATAAAAAACAAGATTCATACAAGTTGCAGTCTGCTAGTATAGCCATAGGGCCAAGAATGATCAGATAAAGTATAATTTATCAACAAACAATACTAAAATTAAGAAAAACCTAGCTTAAAGATTACTAGAATCAAGAATATCAGATATAAAAGAACAATCTGACTGTGGATTATATGAAGTTAGAGAACTGCTGATCTAAAAAAAATAGATCTTACACTGCAGCACCAGAAATCTAGAATATTATATAACATACTTAACAAAGCATAAGTTATCTTACTAGTATAGTGATATATAGATAGCCAATTCACTATACTGGTGATCTTTGCAGATATAAAAACTCTGGTCTTTAAGAGATATGAGAGATTCAAAAATATTTAAGAATCTTTGAGATATAGAGAGATAAAAAAATTTTTTTTTAATCAATCAAATTCAGCTATCTGATTGATCAAATATTATTAATCAATAATTGAACTACTTTTGATCAAGTCTACAAAATCATATTCAACTATTGATTTAACTCGATCAATAATTGATCATGATATAGTTAAGTCAATTCACTACTACAATAACTATATTATGTATTACTATAATAATTATTATATATAATACTATATAATAAATAATAACAAATAATATTTTAAATTGTAATACAACCAAATAATTGTTAATTTATTGATCTAAAATATTTTAAGCACTATCTGTGCTAGTATACTCTTGCGTAGCCTTAGTTTGAGCTTTGTTTATATTAAATAAACTTATAATTTAAATAATTGAATAACTATTGCTTTACTATATATTTTCAAAAATAAGCTACATCTAATAATAAGCTATTTTTCTTTTTTAAAAGAAAAATATAAAAATGTCTTATACTCCAAAAAAACTACTTAATGATTATTAGTAGTTACTTATAGTAAAGTCAAAATTTTACTATATAAATCGATATAGTTTATTAAATGAAAGTTATTCAAAAGATCAAACTACATATATACTGAAAGTTTTATTAAAATTGGATAACTTTTTATTAATATATTTTTGCATATTACATTTGATGAATTTTTTAAAATTTTGTTAAAATTTCTTTAAAATTCATATTCATCAAATATAAAAATCAAAAATCAATTAATAAAAAGTTATCTGATTTATATAAAACTTTTAAAATATACTGGTTTCTAGTTTCTAGTTCTAAATATATACAGTATATAAAAATAAGTGATTTATGAATATTTGCTACATACTATATATAATTTTTTTTTGTATATATTCTAGAAACTACTATATATGCAGTTTTGTTCTGGAATATATATGCATTGATTATTGTGTTATACATATATATATATTTTTTTTGGTATTAAGATAATCTCTTCAGTCAAATACTTTATTATTGTTTGGATTACTTTTACAACTAGATGATCTACATCTGTCGTACATATATTTCTATATACATAACCTTAATACAATACTATTTTAGTAACTATCTTAGAACAATTTTATTCTCGGGGTAAACCTGTAGAGTCTTCTGTACCCACAATCTGGCTGACCTAGGCTTCAGTTGATACGCACAGGCCGAGGCCCACCACTTGTACTTCAGTTTCTATAGTAAAAGTATTCTCTAGCTGTTTTGTTCTTACTAGTTTTTTGTATCATTTTAACTAACTATGGCCTGATTGCTGCTACACAACCTATTTTTGCTCTTATAGAGTTTACCAAAACCTCGGTATACATATTACAGATCATCTACAGTATCTCTGACTACTTCAAACTAACAATTCAGATAGCTCGGAAGGGCTGTGACCTGCCCTTGGTCCCCTCGGTTGGGTCCTTTTTTTCCGATTACTCTTCTGGCAACCTGTTGGTGGAGTGTTTGCCAAATACTTCGGTCTCATTCAGTTTTGCCAGTTCTTTTAATGATGATCCTTTACATAGTACTATCAAAGATCTGTGTTATCTCTTTATTCAGAACTTGCCAAGCGAATGCCTTATCGCCGTATCAGCTCTGTGGCTTTCTGCGATCCAAAAATCTATTTATATAACTCATATATCACACAAATGCCCTGATATCTCCCAGTTCTAATGAATTAGTACAACTACAGTTACAGGGTCTCGAGTTTTTCTGGCCACAATGATAGTTACCAAATCTGTTTTTCTTAAAATCTAATTTTCACTCTCCATGGGAATTAAACCAATACTCAACCACTTGGGGTGTGACAACTTTACCACTTTACTAAGTTGTTACACTCTTTATTGTGTTATATATTATTTGCTTAGTAGCACAACATTTATTATATTTTTAATACGATTATATAAATGATTTGCATTATATATTAATTTTTTTATATATTAATATAATAATGAAAGATTAAAATAAAAAAAGTCAAAATTACTTTAAAATGTTATATATCTTTAGAAAATAAAGCATAGGTGTAAGGTTTGTGAGAAATGCAATCATTATTCACATCTATATTGTAAAATATGCAAAAAAGTAGCAAATAGAATATATAAACAATACAAATATGACAATTTTCTATAAATTTATCTGTATCACCTTACAAAGCTTATCATGCATAATATAGATGCAAATAGAAATTGCTATTTTTACTTTTTGAATTAGTACATATGTACATTGAGAAAGTGTGAAATAATTCTCTGGTCCTGAATAATACCAATATACACTAC